GTGTATAGCTAGTGACCATCAAAGGACACTGTTATGTTTTTTCCAGCTGTTAATCCTGACATTATTATAAATATTCAGGCCAATTGTAAACAGTGATCTACAATATTAAAAAAAAAAAACTGGCTGCAAGCACGATAGTTATGGAAGTTTCACACTATGATATTTGCTAAGTCTTCTCTGGTTGCTTGTTTCATGTTGTTCTTACACATCTTACAGTGGGACTTAGAAAGCAAAAATAGCATTAACAGTAAAAACATATACATTTAAAATAGAAATGCTATACTTCCTGGAATGTTTTGTCATCTGGCTGGTTATATCCGCCAGAGGCATGCAAATCATGAATCATTTTCGTACTATCACTGTTAACTTTTAAAATAACTGGTCAAAGTTAGTTTCGAGCCCTATTTCAGCCAATACTAATTTATATTTAAAGACACTGTGTTGATTTTTATACAAAATTCTGACAGTTTATTAAAGTTTTTTTTACTGAAAATTTATCCTTTGTACAAATTAACACTGAAATAGTCCATGGGCCATAGGCAGAAAATGTTAATTTTCGTTTGACAACTGAGGGGACCAATATCTTTAGGTTAGGATAAGGAGAAATGTTGCAAAAATACTAATGTTTTGGAAAAAATATGTGCACATTAATTAGTAATAGACATTTGTTTTGTAATTAACCCTAGTTAACCAATCACACTGATGCATTGTTTCAACATGACAGACTCCACGAGCTGTTGTGTTCGTGATGTTGTGGAAGAAGAAAGTAACCTTACAAAGCTTTTACCTACAAGTTTTAAGAAAATTTGCAAATGTGTTACACAATAGTTTACCCTAGATAACACAGAGAGAGAGAGAGATTGCTGTGCACTTATCTACAGAAACAGGACAGTTCCCTGATCGTGTGTTCCCATTCTCTGACTCTGATAATTCATCCTGTGTTGCATGTTTGAAAAGTCTTGAAAGACTAGGTTTTGGGTACCATCGTAGGTGCTAATTTTACAAGTGTTACATGAATAGCGAGTGCCAAAAATTGGTTAGAAAAAGGCTAGAATGCAGACAGTCTCCTGAAGATAACTGATGGCTCTGCTACTCCAGGGCTAGAGCAGCCTAGCCATAAACCTTTGCTACGGTCAGCACTGGGATCAGAAAGGTCAACCAATCTGTCTTCTACTTGAATTAGCCCTGATGCTAAACTATGTGCTGCCAATATAGAGACTGGTAGGCACAAGCGTTTAAATCTCTTTCCTGAAGAGTGTTTGATTTGCAATCAAACCAGGAGCTTTATGACAAAAGGGTACATCTGGAAAGGAAAAGTAGAGAGTTTGACATTGACTCTTGGGATGATGATTCATCATCTTTCAGGATCTTCAAATCTTTTAAATGGCCTTGGGCATACAGTTTCCAAAAAGTGGAAAATGCATCATCATCACAAGCATTTGAAATTGGTAGCTTGATGAATTTATCCATAGACACCATTGCTCCAACCGAAGTGCAAAAGGGCTGCTGATGAATCTGGGCAGTTGACTCTCACTACCTATATTTAGGAAAGACTGACAGAGGATGAAAAGGATATATATGCTCCAATAAAGCAAATGAAATTGAAAACATTTTCTGATGTAGCACAATTTGCACCAAGCAAAGAGAAGACACAGAATATAATGCTGAAGGCAAGCTCAGACTTTCTTGATAGAATGGTTGTTATTGACGAGGTAAATATTATGGAGATGAAGGATACTTTGATGTACAGCTTTCACCCCCTTCATTTGCCAGCCAGGAAAGGACCATTGCAAAAATGGACAAATCAAAACTCTTACATCTCCTAGTGAGTTTTGCATTCTCAGATTCATCAGACTGGTAGAAAATGTGCTTCCTTCCTCAACACCAACTTTATGGATCTTGGATGGAATGAACATTCCTCAGGATATGAAAGATGTACCTGCAACATTTGGAAAACTATCCAGTTTAATCCTTGGAAAGCTAGTTTCTGTTTCCAAAACATTATTTCAGACTCTGATGACAAAAGTTATTTGGAGGGTTAATCGGATAGGAGTTGCATAATATACTGACACAAGACTTGTTCCCTAATGGCCATATGACTGCTGTGTAGTTACGTAACTTTATATGGCTAATGGCACCATATATCATAAAATACTGTATTCGCATGGAACATACAATTTGGATTATATGCTTGATTCTTGTAAAGTGACTTAATAGACTGGAAGCTAGAGCATCAAAGTCAGTCAAAGACAACTAAGTGATTGATTGTCTTCTAAACCGGGAGGAATTTAGTTGCATCGTCAATCAGTGCCACTAGAAAGATGGATACATTTACTAGTTTACAAGCTTTGATAAGTCACAATATTTCTTTGGGGAGGGGTAACATTCAGCATGATTTACTGGTAGATTAATTGTCACATGTATATCCTATAAATGTCAAACATGTCAACCAAAAAAGTTAGATATTTAAAAACCAGATGAGAATCTTTACAAAATGACATTGAACAAAGGAATTAGAACGTCACATTGCCAGTATCATTTATTTTGCATTATATGTACAATTTAGTTTTGATAGAAAGAGTTAAAACAAGCTAGAACAAAATTTTTTAATCTTACTCAGATTACTCTAGAATGGTCCGTTAGTGAGTCAACATCGTAAAATTGTTGTCCGTATAAACTTTTTTCTGGTGTTAGATTGCAGTCAGGAAAGCTTCCAGTCGGTGTCAAACAAAGGGTTAATACTAAACCCTTGGAACATTAATGTGCAATTTTAGGATCCAGAAAGTTGCATTTTTGAAATTGGCACCCTCAAATTACCCTAAAATCACTGTTTTCGTTTAGTCCACAAAGTTGTCAAATGGACATGAATCTTCTGCCATGGCCTGAAACCAGAAAATTTCTCTTCATCTTATTTTAACATTTTCAGTTCTAAGAATTATAAATACATTTTAATGTTGAATCTGCAACATAGTTTTGTGTATGTATTTCAACTTTCTGTATGGATATTATTTATTTATAAGTAGTATTTTGTAAACAAGTGTTAAAGTTTTGTTTCAGATGTACACTAAAATTTCCATTTTTAAAATCCTAAAAAGTGTTTAGTCAGTGCCTAAAATTTGATTGATTCTTGAAAAAAGAAACATAAGATATACATTTGGTGAGTTATTAAACATTTTGTTTCAGTTATTTTGAGTTTCTTTTTTAGATGAAAATTTTCAAATACATCTGATAGTTAAGATTTACTCTATTAACATGTTTTCCGAAATTTAAATAGTGCATGAAATTATTTACATAAAATATAAAAATATCAGTTTTTCCACATAGTTGAGAATGATACGTAAATACCATTACAGACGTAGTTTAAGAACATTTGCTACTTAACACAAAAGCTTTAAAACACTAAAATCAATGAAAATTGGCATATTTCTTTTATACTATTCAGGTGGTCAGTACCAGATGCTAGCTCCTCCTTATTATGACCAGAACACATCTCTTATGAATCCAGGAAATGCAAGGGGTATGGGTGCAGGACCAACTCTACGTCTTATGCCATCAGCTATGTTGGTGAACCCAGCAGCTGGACCAGCACATAATCCTGGTACGTTTAATCTTTACCTCAACAATCAACACAGACTTCTGAAACAGTTACATTATTTTAGTAGCTTGCCAATGGATTAACCTTTGTGACCCAGAATGAACGTTAAGTGTGTTAGTCACATGGCATTTCATTTGTTGTTGATTATAATCGTAGTAGAAATGTGTGGTAAAAGCAAGTAAACAAAATAAGAATGCAAGAAAATGTATCCAAGATAAAATAGTAATTCAAACTAATTAGTTAAAGCTTTGCTGATGTAAAACATTCCTAATGAGAAGAGTTTTCAAGCTTGTCTTTTATCTTAATAAGGAAGATCATAATTACCATAGTTCCTTTTTTTTTTCACGGTAAAGGTGATTGATGAAGAGGCTCATACTACAATTCCCTAAACACACTGCATTAAGCTACAGATGTGTTATAAAAGTGACAGTCAATTTCAATACTCATTTCAAAGCCCTTATGGCAGTAGATGATACTGGCTGCCTGCCTGCATTCCCTCTGGTCAGTATTTCAAAATAAGGGATGGACATTCCTGAACCCTAGGGGTCTCTAACTTGTTTATTTCGCCCGCCCATGTGTTCATAAGATACCATTTGGATAGGAAATATATCACCACTAGAAAATATATTTATATCTGTGAAAAAAAAAATTTCCATTTTTATCCCTACATAAATAATGAAACTTTTATTTAGTAGTAATAAGAGTGTGTGTAATAGTTTATAGATAGTATGAAGCTTTCTGTTGATTTTGATTATAGTATCAAGTTTCATCGAAATATAATATGTGTAAGTTCATAATGTATGCAATACCTTTATTTTTAGGTCAACTCCAAAACCCTGCAATTAGTCTATTTTCCACAAATAATTCAAATGCAGGGAGTAACTCTCTCGGCACCTCTACAGCCAATGCTACTTTAGGATACAATCAGCAGAATGCCATGTCAGCTAATGGTGGAAATCAGCTAGGGTTTTCGTCAGGTCTTGGCTTAGGTCTAGGACAAACTCCCAACAGTCTAAACTATGGAACAACACCTCTTGGGCCAATTGGATCTGCAGGAGTTGGAGGATTGGGATCTGGTACATTATCTTAAGATTTTTTCCCACTCTTCTTTTTTTCTTTCTTTCTTTCTTTCTTTCTTTCTTTCTTTC